TCAACAATTACAGCAACTGTTCATCCAAATGCTGTTTATACAAGTAGATTATTGAATTTTGCAAATCTTCCTCAACCAGTAAACTCCAATAAAGTTACAATTCTTAGCAACAATAATGGTAATTATCATCAATTATTTGATTATTAATCTTAAAATTCAATATCAGCATTAATATCATTTTAAATAATCATTTTATAGAATCCAATCAAATTGATTTAGATAGTATTATTAATAATGGTAATTATTTGATTATTGATTTAAATTCAATATCAATATTAATACTAATATTATTTTTATCATATTTATAGATTTTAATCAAATGAATTTGAATGGTAATTATCATTATTTATTTATTAATTTTAAATTAAATATCAATTTCAACATTAATATTATTTTTATTATGTTATAAATTATTATATTTATAGATTCCAATCAAATGGATTTAGATATTTAAATTTATGAATAAATTTTATTCATCTGATTATTGGAATTTTTACATAGGCTTATAAGTGTAAAAATAAAAAATAATAATAAAATATTAGATGCTTTATATTTTCCTATTTTAAACTAGAGTAAACTCTTCCTTGTGATTGAAGTGACCATCACTTTATTATTGTTGTTGTTGTTGTTGTTGTTATTATTATTATTATTGTTATTATTTTTATATTCAAGTATTTATATATATTGTCTAACATTTTATTTTATTATCATCTATAAATAATATAAGAATAAAAATCAAAAAATTTTACCTCAAATAAATATCCATTATTGAGTGACTAACTTATCAAGTTTACATATGTAAACCCTGTCTTATTAATACAATGTTATACAGTATACAATAAGAATTATTATTATTTTGTAAATTCACAGTCAAGCCATTATAAAATAAGCTTTTTCTGGTTAACAAATTATTGAATTCTGGAGAGAGTTCTAAGAAACATACTAATATGACCATTAAAACATGAATAAACCCTTCTACCTCCTAAATAGACTCATCTTAAAGGAATTTTTGCTTCAGCAACAGGAAGATAATATTTTGTCTCTTTTTCTCAGATCAATCCATGGACTATAATTTTATCTCCTAAGGATATTTATTTATTATATACTAATCAATTTTAGTAAATATATACAATTTATAATTTTACCTGCAATATTAACCCTGAAAGCAATATAATTCATCTTTCAGATGCTTTTTTGAAACCTCTTTATAGTCATCTATACAGAATCTCACCAATTGTCAAGTATTTTTTCTTTGTTGCAATTCCATTTACCACTTTCAGCATATAAAATCTGGTCTATTACCCCTTGTGCCATTCTTTAGTTTGGCCTTACAATTCTTACTGGCCACACTCTGGCACTCATTTCTTGTCACCTCAACTTTGTTATTAATTAATAGTTGATATATAGCTACATTGATTAGACAAGCTATTACTCCCACAAGAGTGTTTTCAGAACCCCTAGAAATTTGACAGAAAGAATTTGTTTTTATTAATTGCATAAGGCACTCTTGCAATCCCATTTTCTTGCTCAACCCAGTGTTTATGAACCATAGTCACATTTCCTGCTGCTGCAAATTTATATGTTTCTTGAAATTTGTTTCTTCTTCTAACAAACATTTTTTATTAAAGCATCTTTGCTTAACCTCCTTATCCTTGCTTCCCCCCACAAATAAATCAAAGTCACTCTCAGATAATTGGGATTTATTAGAGCTAAGGTCAATTACACCATTAGACAAAGGATCATCACACATTAAGCCATTGATATCTATTTCCCAAAAAGATGTTCATGTATTGATGTATCCCCATCTAATGGATAAAAAAATTGATAATCAGCCATCAACAGCTCAACTTTACATTAAATCTAGCACAAATCATTTAGAATAAATACCTTCACTTTATCTTTTACATTGCCTATAGTACATTCAGCTTCTACTCTCCAATCCATTTGCTTCTTAAATTTATATGAAATAAACTGGCATCCATTAATGTTTTGAGTCATTCCACAAGAATTGCATCTGTAAAAGTACAAAAATTTGGATTGTTAAATTCAATGAGATTTGATTGTATTTAATACAAAATAGTTAATCAGAATTTGCTAGCAATCTATGGGCAGTGCCAGGAATTATTTAGACATTTTCTCTCCAACAAGTTAGAAAGCTTGCCCTTCAAGAATATATTGTTCAAGGTAAATAAAAAACCAACACTGCTAGGGGTATGCAATTGGATGTTGAATGAAATGGATTCTTTATTTATTTCTCTTGTTCATCTACCAGGGTTATATACATAATTATTTACAACTTTTAATTTTTTGGCTTTTTAAAAAAATCTGTCATTTTTTTCATTCCTCTAGTATTAACTTTTGCCAATGAAGCCACACCAGTTGTCAATTTACGTTTCTATTTTAAAGATAAATGACAAATAGATGATGATATGATCAATGAATAAAATAATTAATTTGTTGATGGATAAGTTTTTAATCAAATATTTTTTTAGAAAATAAATAGAATAAAAAATTTTTTATTCACCTTAACAGATTCTGGTTGTTTATTTTCAATGCCTTGCTTCTTAACATAATTAATTGGAATATCCTTTACATAGACAACATCTTGACCTTCTAATTTACAAAGTTCATCATATCTTAATAATAATATAAAAAATAATGAAAGAATTAGAACTTGTCCATCTAATGGCATATGTACATAGGAAATTTTCTCACTTGTACTCTATTTTTAATTGATTTGCCCAATGATATGGTAGATATTCCATAATAATTTCCAAAACTGTTTTTAAACGAACTTCTAATGATGATAAATTATTTTAATATTTATTTTTAAGTCCTATTGATATTATACATGTATACCTTGACGAAGTTGTTCATTTATTGTATGATTATCCAAATGTTCAATTAATTTTTTTAAAGATTCAAATTCGTCAAATTTTGATAATAAATTTGAAATCTAATAATGATAATAATAATAATAATAATTAAATTATACACATATTGTTCAAATCAAATAATTATTTGTATTAATAGCCAAGTTACCTTGGTCTTTAACCATGAAATTAATTTCATATCATTTAATCGATAAGCCTTACAACCTGGAGATACTTCTAATAATAATAAATAATTATTATAATCATAATCATAATTTATTAATATACATATTAAAGTAAATAAAACCTTGACTATCACAAATCCAATTCATATATATATAAATATTATTGATAGAGGATAATTTCCGAACACTAGGGAAATCATCATGATCAAAAATTGCATCAGGTGAAAGAAATAATCCTTGAAATTCTATATTCTACATTTAAGATCAGAAAAACAATTGTTTAATAATAAAATTTTCTTTCTTTTATATATCAAATATATTATAAATCATAATAATAACCTTTCTTCTACAATTATCCAATATTGGCAATAAGATAAATAAAGGATCAATGGATGTGAAAATAAACAATCTACCATCTGAAATTTAGTAATAAATAACTATTTATATATATATATATATATACACTTTTTTCCCACTAACATAAAACAAGAATATACCTTTTTGAACTATATTATTATCTATAAACCATGATTTTTGATCTTCACATCCTATACATTGCACTTCCAATAAATTTCCTTCTTGAATAATATAACGTGCTGGTAATCCTTTAATTATTTATTATTATCATAATGCTCTTTTGTTTAATATTTTGAAATTTTAAGAATTCATGAAAAAATATATCCCTACCAGTTCGGGGATGAGGTAAATTAATTGAAAAAATTTTTTCCTCATTAAGGAGACCTTTTTTAAACAAGTTAATATTAATAATTAATAGATAAGGGATCTCTTAACAATATTAATCATTCATACTTTTTGGTTTAATACAAATATTTTGTGACATGGTAAGTTTCTTTAGTGTTAGCGTAAATATAATGTACTTTATATTCTCTTTCTATTCTTTAAGTGTTATATATTAATAATATATTAATTAATATTAAAAAAAGGAAAAAGAACGCGTAATTATCAATTGTAATATATATATTTTGCAAATCATTTATCAATCGGGGAATTCTTTATAGATATAAGATCGGCGGGATAAATCTTCCTTGACTACACAAACATATTAAAACAAAAAAATCAATACGGAAGTTCATAAACGAGCAACTTTATGTCATATAGTGTATTCTAAAAGAATAATTTTATTTAGAAAAAAATTATAGAAATATAGAAATAACAACACACAAAATTGAGACTACCTCTATAGTTTTCTCTAAATTTTTATAAATGTGCTCGAAACTTTACATTGTAATTCATTCCTCTGGTTGATAAACGATTTACGAATTAATAATATGCGCAGTACAAATCACATCGTTGAAGTATCTATACTTTATAAATTTTGTATTTTATTATTAATATTAATACTTTTTTTTATACATTCGCTCGCATTTTCTTTTTTCTCATCTTCCTCAACAACGACAATAATACTAGAAACCATTTGATTGTAATGTTTAGTAAAATTAATTACAGATCTTCTGATTCAGTAACAGAATATCTTCATAGAGATGTTAAAGATTATTGGATAAATATCTATTATTATCATTATCATATCATTATTTATGATATAATAATATTATGGGAGAATGTAATAATCATAATGGAAGTCAAATTCAAAACTATCCTCAAGAAAAACACGACAATCCACTCTCCCAAAGTGATAAACAATAAATTATAATTAGGGGTGATGAATTACAAAATTGGAACTTTTTAAACCTTTGTTACATAGTAAATAATTATTAAAATCAAATATAAATTATATATTATTATGTAATTGAATATGTCAAACAGTTTGAAGGTGATGCATTGGAGCCATTTGTAGACATTACCTATTCTGAGCACTTTGACGAATTTCGCTATTATTACTGTTATTATTATCAATAACATTATTATTACTAATATTTATATTTTCGTTGTTTTTATTATCATTTCATCTCTACTCTCTATTTCCTTCTTCATTTCCTTTTCAACCCAATTCTGAATTGCTTCTAATGTTTTTTTTCTAAGATTTGTTTTTCGTAGAAGTAATAACTTTTTTCTCTTCGAGTAGTTCACCACGAATTCAATGACCATTTTACTGAATGAAAAATCAAGAATCGATCCAATCTTTTATCAAATATTTGCTTGGAATCCTTTCATAGATTTTCAATTCCTGTGAATATTTTTTATTGCCAGTAAGTTTATTTAATTTATTTTTTAATTGGCTTTTCGATTAATAAAATTATGTTTAATAATGATTATTAGAAGGATTTGTCATTTGAATTTTTTTACCTGAAAACTAAAGTGAATTGGTAATGTTTTTCAATACAAGACAGGATTATTTACCTTGTTTCAACGTCAATGAGAGAGAAAACAAAGATTTATAAAACATATTCTTGAATGTAAAATCGTTCAAACAGCAATGTTTTCAATATGATTGATCATCAATTACATTTGCATAAAGAATTAATAGTCGGTGAAAAAAATAAATAAATCAGTATTGTAATAATAAGAATTATTTTCCTTCTAAGGATTTCTGTTTCTTGTTGGGTAATAAATAGTACATCTTCGTTTTGCTTTCTTTTTTTAATGTTTATTATTTTTTTTTTCTTCTTGGTAAATTTCATAAGTAATCTTTTCTTTGTTCAAATGTGTTTGCAAAGATTTGTATCTGACATTTTAAAAATATAGCAATTTTCTCACCTTGCTCTTTCTATCAAAATATTTCTAATGGTGCTGTAATTTTTGGGTTTCACATTAACTATTTTTATCTAGAGATAGACCAAGCAAAAAACAAAAATTGTCTGGTACTAAAATATACTAAATATATTAATATATATAAATACACTAACACTAATTAATACTAATTTGAAATGCTAAAATGACCTGGTGACCCCACATTTATTGAGTCTCGGTAAATTATTATTATTTTGCGGATGGATTAATTATTACAATATAGTTTATTTATTATCAGAATTTAGATGCTTAAATTACATGCTTTATCATTTAATCATTTGCAAATAATTTGTTTGAATTACAAAGACGTTCTATTTGGACTTTCTACTTCAAAAGGCAGTGTAGAATCCTACTTTATGAAAAGTTAAGTCTTCGTCTAATAAATAATAAATTATGATTGGTTAAATATACAAAATGATTAATCTTAATATTTTCGTGTTTCGATATCCATTATAAAGATTTAGTAAGCCTATCCGTTTAAATTATAGTAATTTCAACTATGAATTTTTTGATTTATAAGCAAAAAAAAAAAATATATATATATATAATAATTTTTTTTGTATTTTTGAAAATTAAAAAATTTTGTAAATTGTCGAAAAAAATGAGCAACGCAATCGAAGAATTAGTTGAAGTAAATATCATTTATTGATCGTGTTTTATTTTTTAATTACATTTGATTATTTCTCTTACTCGTCCATATTTCTTTTCCTGATGATGATAATAATAATTATAATAATAGAAACTTATAAGTGAGAATTATATTATGGTGTTTAGTAAAACTTATTGCGGATATTCTAGAAAAGCTAAAAAAATATTGGATGAAAGTGGCAAAAAGTATCAAGTTTTAGAATTGGATGAAATTGGTGAATATTTATTATTATTGTTTGTTATTATTATTATTATTTATGATAAAAGAGAATATAATAATAGTGATAAAATAAATAATAAAAATAGATAATGGAAGTCAAATTCAAAATTATCTTCGAGAAAAAACACATCAATCCACTGTCCCAAATATTTTTATAGGAAACAAGCATATCGGAGGTAATAAATAAAATAAAAATTAATGCTATAAATGTGAAACAATTATGACTAATTAAATATTACAATTAGGATGTGATGATTTAGTAGCAGTAAAAAATAATGGAACTCTTGAAACATTGTTACTGGCAGCTCCTTCGTAATAAATTATTATTTATAATGGAAAAAAAGAATATGATTCAACTCGTCGCTTTATAATAAATAATATGATTTATTGATCTCTCAATTTGTTTTTGGTTCGTTTTTTAAATAAATCAATTTTCACGCGCGCAAACATACACGATGTGAAATAATTATTATTACTATTATTATATTTAAATTTAAATATTAATTAATTAATACAAAAAATTTTTTGTTATTATATATTATTATTTTACAAAAATTTTTTTTTCTATTTAATAAATAAATTTAAGACATTTTGCTAATGATACTAATGTAAGGAGAAAGAAAATTTTTTAATTGCTGTTTATAAAGAAAAAATTATAAAGAAAAAATTATTATTATTAAATTATTATTATTGTCTAAAATTAATTAATAGTCGTAAATAATAATTAAATCTACTATTTGTATGTTTTGTATGTCTTTATATCCAGAGATTAAATTATAGTCTCATCCATCCCATATCTTATTTTTTATTTTTGTCAATCATTGGTTTAATAACAGTTATGTACAAGACTACTATTAAAACAATCAAAAGTATTATGCTAATTCCAAAACAATACCATTTTTTCTATTTTAAAAAAGAAAGAAGAAAAAATAAATATATTATATTAAGAATTATTATTACAAAAGTCGAATTAATTTATTACCTTTCTTGCAGCTCTTGCACTAGTTAATGCTTGATCTACATGTTGAGCACCTTGTTCCATATTAGTACTGACTTGTGTAGCTTCTTGTTCAATGTCCACAATTGTTTGATCTTGTGCTTCAACGAGAATTGACATTTCATGGAAAAGATTAGCAAGTTCCTAGATAATCAAAATAATTGATGGTTTAATAAGTGTATGTATATATATAATATATAAAAATGTATACAATTAATTTATTACATACTCCAATTGTTTTTTCAATCTTTTTAATATCATCATGACGTTCTTGTACTTCTTTAAGAGCTTCTTTGGCTGCTCCAATTCTTGTTGAATTCATCAACTACAAATATAAAATATTTGTAAGCATATATATATATATATCTAAAATATTTTAAATATATGTATATGATAAATTGTTAATTATAATTACTGATTGAGCAAATACTTGTCCACCATCATCATTATCTATGGCAGAATCAATTTCTTCTTGCGTTGCTTGAGGTTTAACTAATTAATATATTTTTGAGAGTTAAAAAAAAATTGAGTTAATAATCTTTGATACATTTTATGTATATTTAATAAATATATTTAATAAGAACATGTATAACTTACCAATTTTGTATTGTCTTTCCATTCGTTGACGGTATTTTTGCCTATTTTGATATTCAACATTTTGATAATTTTGTAAAGTTTCCATGAATTTTTGACGTAAATTTGAAGTCTATATATACGTAAGTGTAGATAGAGAGATAAATAAACAAATTAAGAATCAAACAAACAAATAAATATTATAGTAACAAATAATTAAATTCACCTGAGCTTTCCTAACTTCTATGTCTCCAGATCTGGCTTGTTTCAAATTTGAAACTTCCAATTTTTTGATCCTATCTTTTATTTGTGTAAGAATTCCTCTTGTTTCTGATGTTATACTTTCAAGTTGACGTTTTATCCTTTCATCATCAGATATTATACCCAAAGTGCGCGAGTGTAATTCATCTATCTGAGATATATTCGCTTGAGCTTTACGTATCATATCTGAAATTGATGATACCTAATATATATATATAGTGTGTGTGGAGTTTGAGCACAATTATGAGCAAGCGAAATGATTATATAATAAATAACTAAATAGATGACATCTTTAGATAATTATTAAATAATTAAATAATTAATCTTCATTACCTCATCAAAAAATGCGCCTACATCATTTTGGTCAATTTGAGCCATTTCAACATATTGTGGTTGTTGTCGACCGCCTCCAAACCCACCACCACCACCACCACTACCAAATGGTTCTCCCTTTATTTTTCCAATTAAGAATAATAATTAATTAATGATTCATTATATATTATATATATATAATGTTATAGCTAACTCCTTCTTTTTCTAAGAAGACTGACTATTGTTTTTCTTTTAAAAGAAAAATGAAAACTTACCTTCATGTCACCAGTACGGTCTCTACTCATATTTAATTACTTTTATTTTATTAATTATTATTAATATTTTAATTTTAGATTTTCCAAGATCAAGCCGAAATCTATATGATATGTGATTAGTAAAAGGTGGGAGAAAAATTGTAGGAAAATTTGAGAAAAAAAAAGTATAAAAAAATGAAATAGTGACAAACGTAGAAAGTAGAAAGTAGTAAGAGGAAAAAAAAGGGAAATAAGGAAATTATTGAAACTATTAATATTATTTATGATGTATTTGACAAATTAATTAAAAATTTTTATATTATAATATGAATTAAAAATTATATATTTTTTAAAAAAAAATTTATATATCATGTTAATAAGTTATTTTTATTTTTGCACTATGATGTGCATATTGTCAAATTTGTAAATTTCTTCTATTTTAGTGAATTCCCGCCCGAAATTATTAATAGTAATAGTAATAGATAGAGATAGGTTAGCGTATTCATATGAAACTTTGATCAAAAATTTTAAAATGTTGTTTTATTTCCTAATTTGGCAACACTTAACCTTCTAGATATATTCAGGGTCCTAATATCGCAGACAAATAAGGAAATAAATTTTTTGATTTTGCTTGCGCTTTATAAATCCAAAAATAGAAATGCAAAGAAAATTTTGACGCCGAATCGATTTCATTCGCGTATATACGTACACAATGATTTTGCCAAATAAATGGACCAAGAAGTAAATCGATTTTTACTCATTGTGTCACAAATTTTGGTAATCTTCTTGATAGATGTTCTTTTTATTTCTTTAGTAGTCTTCTTTTTCCTTCTAATTTTTGTAACACGATCTATTTCGAAAATATTAACATGTATTAATATTAGTATTATCTGCCCTGGGACTTATATATCGGATGTTACAATTTGCGAATTCGTCATACTTGAGATTTTAAAATGCTTATCTTCTTCCAGAATATAAGTGACTAAATTTTTTTTTCCTAGACTTGGCTTGATAACCCACGGGCTTCACCATAGTTTCCAAGAAAATTCTTTACTATTACATATCTTTGTCAATTGTCATTTTTTGTTTTCCATTGAGACATTCCTTTAAAATTAGTACAGCCAATTTCTAACATATTTCTTGCCAAAAAGGTATGTTATGATTCGTTCTCTTATTAATACGATCTTTATTGCTAATACTTATTGATCCACCGTCACCCATTCATTCCAGAAGTTGGGCCATTAGAAGCACATCTTTTTCCGGTTTGGACTCTTTTTGTAATCTCCTTTCCATATCCAGTAGAACCGTTATTAATTGTATACATAATAACAATCCTATATATAAACTGTGGATTTATAATCATTTAAATGGGTTGTTAAAAATAGATATTAGGCTTTTACTTATATTTCTTTTCTTTTTAGTATCACCAAAAAAGGTTTCATTAAAAATTTACGGGAATTCAAATCCAGGAAATGAAACTAAAATTATACCACTCATTTTAAAAAATAGGCAATCCACGTGATAAATCAAACAATACAATATACAAGAATAGCTAGTGATTTGATGAAAAGTAAATAACAAAATAATGATCAATAAAAAAATTTAGCCAATGAAATCAACACAGTCTTTAGTATTAGAAACACGTCAATATTTTGCTTTCTTGCTTTATTATGTCAATTAACGCATATATAAATTGTGTGAACTTACTGATGGATCTTTGGAACAGACCTTACGACTATGAATGTTGGTGAAACTAAATTGAAGAATTTCACCAGTTTCATCATTATACTTTCCACCAGGTGTTGAAACTTGTGAAATGAGATCCTTACTTACAACAAACAGATGAGTTCTCTGACCATCAAAATGAAAGCAAAGATGAAATAAACGATTCGTTTAAAAAGGAAATCAAGGTTTCTCAGACTCAGTTTGGAAAGTGACATCCAGCTCAAATGAATTGGAACAGCAATTGATGATAGTATACCTTTAATATTAAGTTAAACTACAGGAAATGTATTGGTACCAACTATCTGCGTATACTGCTTGCTGTTTAAAGAGATGCTTTCCAATTATGAACAGATGCTTACTTTTTATGAATTTTTTGTGATAATTGGTCGTGGATGTTTAATATAAATATAAAAAAAAGAAATTGCTAATAATAAATGTTGCCGTGAGTTGTTTAATTACAATTTTTTCAGATAACATAGATACCATGAAAATTGACTACAATATACATGAGGCTGTAAAGAGAAAACAGAAATTTCGTTGGATAAATTTTTTTGTGCCAGCAAACTGTGATGATATTATATTTTGTAAAAACCATTTGTGCTTGGATACAAAGTTCTGATTGGCTAATTTGAATTTCACGCGCGAATTCACGCACAACAGTATATCATTTTATCTCTCTATAAAAAGTACATTGTCATTAAATCTGCAGATATAATTCTTAATAACTTTATTTAGGATCTTTTCCAGCAAAAACAGTCTCTGAGGTCATCTGACCAAATTTGTGTTGTTTACAAAGATCATAATTAATGAAAGCATTAAACCCTGCTTGCTTAATATTAATAAAAAAAAATGGAGGATAGTAGGTCGGATACCTTTTTAAAATAATTTGCGCAAGTCTAAATTGAGAACTGCTTCCGAGGTCATTTGACCGAACTTGTGTTATTTACATAATATTAACTTATAACATAATTATTATAATTAGAGAAAATATCAGGCCCTGTTTGCTTAGAAAAAAATGAAGTTTTATATGGTTAGTTCAGCCTAAAGACTTTCTATTGCTAAGCCACGCGTTCAAATTTCAAAAATGGCGATTTAAAATTTTTCAAAAAATTTAAAACCAAAATCGCGTGAAGACCCGTTTAATTTCCTTATTGCCAAATTTAGATATGATGGCAGTAAACTAGACTAAATTTAGTGATGATGTTCTAAAATTAGTCTAAATTTAGTAATAGCTCAAAAAAGAATAGAACTCTACAACAAATATTTTTTTTTGAGAAATCTCTTCATTACATCAAAACTAAAGACCTACCGTCAACTACAACTAATGAAGATATTTTTTTTAAAAGGTAGGACAGAAAGTGACTTCTTTACTTTTAAAAATTGAGGGTATCTTTAGACTGAACCAATTTTGTATCTCATTGTACTAAATGTTAAGTTCATAACACGCACCCGAAATTATTTATTATTTGTGAAAATATTAATATTTAATTTACTATGAAATAAAATTTTTTATTCCTTATTGAAAAAGAATTAGCTAAAATCAAAAAGGATTAAAATTGAATGTAATAATAATTAAAATAGTTTTTCAAGACATATATAAAAATAAAATTCCAAATTATAAAAATAGAAAGTAAAGTAGCCGTTTTAAACAAGGAACCTAAATTACAATTAAGCACAACTGGACAGTGTAGAAGAATTCACAATTGCTCTCTTGGTGTCATGTGTTCATCTCATAATTAAAATAATGCATGAAATTTAAATTTGTTAGTGTCCAACTTAGAATCTCGTTAATATTAAGATTTATTTTGTGCTCGTCAGTAGTTATCATAAAAAATTTTTTCAATATTTTATTATCACCAAAGTTGAATTATTTACTCCCGTTATTAACAATTAACAATCTTAATAATAATAATTTATTTAATAAATAATTATGATAGGAAGAAAAAACGAAGGATGGGGGTAAAGAGAACAATAAACGTAAATTGCTAAATATTGGTTTTTAATAATAGTAAAATCTTATTTATGAAAAAATATTTTAATAACTCGATTAAGGAAAATATAAAATAAAAATAAAATTTTAAAGGAATCTTAAATTATAAAAAGATGATTGTTTCATTTTCAAAGTAATACCACTTATTTTCTTCTTGCTTATTACACCTTTAAAACTTACTTTTATTTATCGTTTACACGCATTTAATATTTTTATAATAATGATTTTATAATTATAAATAATATGCAGAACCTACGTTGCAAATAAGAATTAGCTTTTAGGATTGAACGCCATTTTGCAGTAGAGCCACCGATGTAATTTGACTTGGAATATATAGATGTAATTGGGTTATTGAAATCTTATCAAATTAGTGATACCCAATTTCTAGACTATTTATCAGGGTTGTAGAATTTCATTGTACGAGAAGAATCTTCGTACGTACGGCCGTACTTCGTACAATTGAGTGCAGCTTCATTGTGGTCGCACATCTGTACGAGGAAATCTTAGTACATCATAAATATGTACGTGCTTACGATCTATGATTTGCGATGATTTTCTAAAATCCGATAATAGTTATTCCTTACTATTACTATTACTATAATTAAACGGATTACCGGGTTATAACGGATCGTAATACTAATACTATTACTACTTCATTATCAGAAAAACCCTGATTATCATGTTATATCTATTTAAACGTGGTTTCTAAATTTTTTCTATTATTAATAATGAAATAAAAAAATTACCTCTACATTCTTTTTTAATTATATTATCAATTCAAAATAATTAATGATAGTATTAAAATCGTAGTCATGTCTTCAAATCAATTCTTTTTTTAAAAAATGTAAAAAGAACAAAGATAAATAACTAACAGGATGATTATTTTTGAGAGCTATCAAAAAAAAAAAAAACGGTGTGGTGGTGATTATTCATTCACAACTCACCATTATTAGGGATGGACAAATGCAAAATTTTTAGTTATTGAGCGCGTTATGTGCATAGTCAATTATTAATGATTTTAAAAAACATCCATTTAATAAATCATAAAATTATTTTCATAATTTTAGTTTAAAATGTAATAAAACATGTTTATTGTGATTAGGGGTTGACAAAATGCAAAAAAAAAAATTATACTTATTATTTTTATTATTTTACTAACTTAGTAAGAATCATAAAATCACCAAAGATATTCTATTGACAAAATTATTGATTGGTGAATTTTATGAATGCCTTGTAGTGATTATATTATTTTGTTCTATTGGTAAATGAGAATTGTTACATTGCTTTGCATTGGGTTGAAAATTTGAACCAAAATACCTTTGGAGAGCTGTTATACTCACTCTTGAACAAAATTCTAAAATGCACAACACATTTACCAACTGCAGCATTTATTTCATAGCCACAATATTTGTATTGTGTATGAGGTTGCTGAAAACCTGATACTTGACCAAGTTTATTGAAATGAGCCCAAATGGGATCAGCTGGAGGTCTCTTATGTTCTTAGTAATAAAAAGGTGTTTTTATGGTCATTCATTATTAAGATTATGAAGTTATGTTCTAGATGTAACAAATCATCAAATCAGTTTGGCTTTGTATCAAAAATTTTTAGGATCAAACAATATTTGGGGCATACTGCAACAAAACCAGACAAAGTGAACATTGGTATTACCAGAATTTCAGGGATCAAAATTTAGTCATTTGTAACGTGATTATAATTAACAGTTTTATAATATCCCATTTTCTATCTTGAGTGATATATATAACTATCCCTACATAAAAATAGTTAATATGAAATTAATTTATATTAGATCTACTATGGAACCCAAGAATTATAGTACCATTAGAAGTATTTTAAAAAAAGAACAAGGTGAAAAAATTGCTCCTTACATCTTCAAAATAAATGATACTCAGACACTTGAAGCTTATCTAAGTAAGGAAAGGATTACTTATGAAATTTACCAAGAAAGAAAAATAATAAACATTAAGAAAAGAAAGCAAAATGAAAGTGTACTATTATCCAACAAAAGCAGAAACATTTAGAAGAAAAATAATAATATTATTATAATAATATTGATCTATTTTTTCCTTTTAATAATTTAATGTTTTTTAATTGTGCTTTCAAAATGTTTCTTTTTATTCTTGCTAAAAAAATTTAAAAAATGTCATTTGACCTGGAGTGAGAACATCATACAATTTGTTCTTGATGATTCATAGTATATAGATCGCTAGTATTAACTGAACCTTTACAATAATGAAGGTGAGGGTGGATAGATGTTAAAGCATAGCAATCCTTTCAGTACTACATAACATAGATTGGGTATCCTATTATTCTGTCATTTGGACATTATATACTCAAAAAACACATCTGCCTGGTTTCACCATAAGATTGGACAGATTGGATGGATTAAAAAAATCAAACAGTTTGAACAGGTTGAATGAGTTGAATGGATGATCCAATGAAATGCATTAGTGAATATTATTAAAGGTATACAGCATTAGGCAAACCAACTTCTTTGAACAATTCCAAATCCGACTTTTTTTATGTTTTTTAAGGAATTGTATCATTTGATTCTTTTTCTGAATTTATAAATAAGTAAGAAAGAAATTGCATGAAAAAGCTGACAATGATTGATGTTGATGAATTAGATAAAAACAACCAAGGTTATTTAAAAAAAAATTTTTGGCTTTTATTTTTCACATGACATTAATTCAGACCTCTGATATTTTATCACTATTATTGTTATCATCATTATTAATATTAATGTTCTCCAGAATATTTAACACACCCTGTATAATTCATACAAGTATTTTTTCTAATTGAAGAACTGCTCATATCATGTGTTGTTTAAACTAGTGTTTGATGGTTCATAATCAGAATCTGATTCGAACTTTGGATCCTCCTCAGAATCTGTAGAACCATACTCTGATGACAATGATGGAGTTGAAGGAGGAGTTGAAGCAGTTGGATTTTCATGTGCAAGAGACTGTATATAAGCAAAAGCTTGTAACAGTGTAGGTTGATCTCCAATGTTAAGAGTATCACTTATGTAAAGGATGTTTGCATCTCGTCTCATAAACCATGTTTGGTTGTAAGTTGTCAAAATCCCAAATTGTAATTTATTTACAACCATGTATCCATATATTTGTTCAACACTATTAGTCACATCAGATGGTTCTTCAGAAACCATTTCACCCAAACCTCTTGTATATTTGTCTGCAAGATTCTCATTGTTCAATGAAAGAACCCATCTTGTTTTAACTTCAATCACCAAAAGGATTTGAGAGAGATTAATATTCCTGTTTATCTGGTAACATACAAAATCCGGTTCACCAATCACAGATGGAAATGCAGTATGGTGAGCATATTCCTCTTTCAGTTCATGATCAGAGATGGAACCGCAATTAGCTGCAATTCAACTTTCATATGCCGCAACCACAACCGCAATTCAATTTTTATATGCCGCAATTAGTTGCAACTAATTGAGGAACCATCTTTATTCATGATGGCATCCAACTAAATCAAGCAGTTTGAGTATGTTTATATTTAAGGCCTCACGAACACAATCTTCATCAGATATCCTGTCAAATTTTAGGAACTGTGGTGGTTCATATTTTTTACCTTTAACATCAAGTTTAAATGATGAAACTTTTTTTAAAAATTCTTGCCATTGGTATACTTTGTCTGGATGTCGTGCTGTTGAAGATTTTGTTGTGCAGATACCCTTTTTAAGATGTCGATATTCTATAACAGGAGGAGTTAAACTTAAAATCTCCTTTATTGTAAGAAGAACTGAAGTGGAAATTGTGATATTAATGGAAAGGAAGCATAAAAAATGTGAAAAATAGTTTCTACAAATGGATAAATAAATAATCTTTTGTATATTTTTATCAGGATCTAACATATGCCCAATATCTACCTTCTGGACATTTACATGCCCTCCACTTCCAAATAGAATAAAATTAACAATATATTAAATTGAATATTTTATAATATTAATCATTAAACATTAAATATTGGATTATTGAAATAAATACCTTTTTATTACCATCATCTTTTATAATGTTTTCTTTATTTTGCACATTGATTGATCTAAATAAATAAAACTTATAAATAAGTAAAACTAGAGTGACAACGGGTGGCAGGCGATAACCACCACCATCCTTATGATAACACTTATCCAGCAATATCTGCAATTTGTTTTTCTGATTTTCTTTTATTATCGATAGTCTTATTTTTATGTGGCATGTTTAATATAAATAAAAGAAGTTTGAGAATGATCAACGCGTACACATTAATTATTTATCCTATTGGTTTTTTTTTTGGTAGGACAGACGCGAATTGATTTTTTTTTCTTGGAAAAACAATTTATTTTTTGGACAGAGTCCAAGGTGACAAAACGTGAGTGTTGTTGTTTGGTTTGGTTTGGTTCTACTAAAGAAGACGTATTAATAACTAACCAGATATAATGTGGTGTATTTTTATTTTAGTTTATAAATATTTTAATTGGAAATCAAAACGCGGAGCAGCTCTTGCTGGGTAATTACAAGATTTTCATTGATAATATTTTACTTTTCGTACTCAATAATATTAATAATATTAATATTACTATATTATAATTACGAGATGTCAAGGCAAGCACACTGTTGAATATGAAACATTTCAAATATGAAACATTTCGAGTATGCAACGTTTGATTATCGGAAATTTTTAGAGATGTTGAAGCACGCATGCTACCTTGAACACTACAGTCATTCTCTCATCTTCCTCGTGTACATAAGGCTAATCTGACTTGCGCCTGATGATACAACGATGCAACCGAATTCCAGGGAGGGGGAAAGATGCCCTGGAGAAACGTTAATCATAATTCTTGCACTATTTCATAGTTCTAAATCATGTCATGTAAAGGATTACTGAACCAAAAGAAGA